CTGTTGATATAGCAGCATGGTGAGGGGAAATACAAAATTAACAGTTATAACACAGCTTAAATGATGTCCACACTTATGAAAAAAAAATAAACAAAACAAAAAATTGAGAGGATTATAAATATAAGAAATACAATAACAATAAAGTTTGATGCTTTAAGGGTGGAGGAAATGGTTTATTTAGTGGTGCAAAGAAGGTTAGTTAGTTCATGCCTGACACTATTTTCATCACATAAAGTACGTGCCGTCAAATATGGTATAATGGAATTTTTATACTTAGACGTACGTGCATAAAGTCTTCTGAAAAGACTTCTTGTTTTACCTGAGGAGACACAAGGCTGGAGCTGTGGGTAGAGTGGATGCTCAGAGTCTGACAAAATTCCTTTAGCGAATTTGTTACATGAAATCAAGTGCCTATCAATAATAATGTCAACGATATGGCCCAATGGGATACCACTCGACCTACTCACTGACAGTCTTCAGAGTTCTATGAAGTATGACATAGTCTTTTTTAAGCAATCCAGGAAAGAATAAGGGTGAACAGTAAAGAAGAATAGGTAAAGCACTCAGGCATAACTCAACCACTCCTCTTACAGTATGCGCTGAAGATGTTTCCTAGTAGGACAATGAAAACTTCGCGGATAAACCATCCAGCTGAGAGAACTACTACAACTACATCAAAATATTGAATCAGCCCAGCCATCTCATCCACATATTATTACTCAGTAACAAAAATCACCATAGGTGAGCTCAAACCTTTCGTGATTCAAAATTAATTTTCAGGTAGACAGATATGAATTTTTTGTTTTGGTAAACAATTTTTATTTCATCTATATCACTGACCAAATAAAAAAGGGAAATTTAATCAATTTATTTGAGAAATATTTTTTTTATGATTATTGTAGCGCTCGCTATACAGGTGGTAAATAAAACCCATGAGGAACATATATATTATTTTCATCACATATGCATATATATATATATTCAATGAATAAATTGAACACTTTTCGACTGTTGATTGTATTTTTCCCGCCTTTTCTTCTACGAGCGTTAGTTAATCAATTCCGATTAGAATTTATCTCACTTTTCTATATATTTTTCTCTCCTACGTGTATATTTCAGTCCATATGCTCAATTGCAACAAAGCATATTGTTCATTCTGTATAATGTATAATTTATAATTGACGGGGTGCCACCGACAATTATACATCTCATCCAACAGCTGTACGACAATGCTGCATGCCAAGTAATCCACAACGGGAAACTTATGGAATCCTTCGAAATGAGGACAGGAGTATGATAAGCTGGCTGCCTACTATCGCCAATGATTTTCCTGATTGCAGCAGATTGGATAATGCGACAAACAGTGGGCAATGAGGAAACAGGCATGAAATGGACTCACACAAAACACTTGGAGGATCTGGACTTCGCCGATGATATATGTCTGATTTCCCACAAACTGGAAGATATGCAAGCGAAAAGCAACAAGTCGGCAGAAGAAGCATCAAAGATAGGACTTCAGGTGAACATAGAGAAAACAGAGGTGATGAAGATTCCTGGCCAACACCAACAGCAGCAACAACAACAACAGACAACAATCAGCATAAATGGAAGGAACCTGAAAGAAACAACCTCCTTTACTTACCTGGGAAGCATCGTTTCAACTACAGGCGGAACTGACGAGGATATCAAAGCAAGGATCGGAAAAGCAAGACAAGCTTTCACTACTCTCAAGTCAGTGTGGAGGTCAACAGCACTCAGCATCAAAAATAACATCCAGATTTTCAACTCCAATGTGAAGTCAGTCGTGCTTCTCACTATACGGATCAGAGACTTGGCGCGTCATAAAGAGCATCTCAAACAAACTACGGACCTTCATTAACTAGTTGTCTTCTCTCAATACTCAAGATCTGATGGCCAGAAATCTCTGGGAGTGAACCAACCAGGAACCGATTGTGAAACAAATAAGCAGGAAGAAATGGAGATGGATTGGCCATACTCTGAGGAAACAATGCATCAAGTGACATCACTAGACAAGCCATTGCTCGAGTGGAACCCGAATGGGAAGCGGCGAGTTGGTCGTCATGCAAGGGTTACTTGGAGGAGGTCATGTGGAGTGGAGATGAAAACGTGTGGGCAGACATGGAGCCAGGTGAAGACTCTAGCAGAGAACCGAACGCAATGGAGACGCACGGCTGAAGCCCTATGTTCCTCTAGGAATTAAAGGAAACAATAATAATATTGTTCATTCGATGCGTACCCTATCTAAAAAGTTGAAGAATACTATCCTATATGGTTACAGAAAGGTATAAATGGTTGTTTAAGTAGTGCGATAACTGAACACCTTGTGAAAACACTTGCCACTTTATATCAAAAACGTCCTCCTTCAAAATAATCTAAGAAGTGAAGAGCAACCTACTAAAGACAATACGCTTTCTCCTCGTTTGTATTGCTGAAGCTGTAGTCATTCAGATAAACAGGAGCCTGGCATGCACAAGAATATTTGTCTCATTACGTAATCTTAGCACACTTAATCAACTCCTCCCTGAACTATTTGTCTTGTCTTTTGATTACTTTTTAACCATTTGTTCATACAATGGATAATGCCGGAAAGTTTAACAGATATCTGAATAGTGGAGCGCACTCTACTAGCTAATCTTGCAGATAACTACATTTCTACTTAACCTTGAATCTTTACCCAGCTAGCCGAAGACGGAAGAGTCCAACAATGAATTAAGAACGTGCTCGTCTCATTCTGGCAAAGCCAAACCTTAAGCACCACTAACAATCAATCAGCGAATGACCTTGAACACACCAATCACGTAAAAGAAGCATTTTTGGATATGGAATAAATATATTTATGAAAAAATGCATCAAAACTGTATAAAACTGTTATTTAGGATACCTTTCTCTCACATGTGGTAAAATCATCTTACAGTTTAGCGTAGGAGTATCAGCTGAAACGTTATGACACACCCTTGACATATATTCATATAAATGACTGTAAATGACATCCTTTTGCCATCCATTAGTGGCCCCAATCCAACGTTTTAACCTTCCTCAAAAGCCTTCCATAGAACTGGTTTGAGTCTCTGCAATGCAGTCCACGAAAACCGACGCTTTCAATGTGAAACGGCCACTGTACGTCTGTTGCACAGTGGTAGAAAGCTCGCCAAACACGTATATAGTTCGGGGTCACTCACTCTTTTACTCCGCTAAGCCAGAAATTAGACTGGTAAAGACGGGAGGTTGAACATGAGGCTAGCAGTCACATCCTGTAAAAATAAACATCAACGCTACTGGAACTTCAAGACTCTGGCTTGAAGCCCTATGGAATGTGAAGGAATAAAAAAATGCCATGCACAGAATCATTAGAATGGTTGACTCTGTGGTGAATATATTCAAGGGATGACAAGGAGTTATAACCTTCCCACTCATCTGTGTGTATTATAGATCCTTGTTTCACCAGTCGAGTGATAATAAGTATTAAGGTACTTGACTTTCTATCTGCTATCCTCTCGACTAGTCCTTTCTAAAGAGAGGTACTATAAAAGCCAATCACCCAAACATTGTTTACTCTTTCACGACCATGGTTGTATTTTTTCTTCAGTAAGACACTTTCATCCACATGTGTAATGACACCTTCTCCTACCAATAAGAAAGTAAGCCTATCCCTTTTCCAAGATGCAATACCCCTGCCATGTTGGTACCACTGAACTGTTGGTAGGAGACTATTTTGAGTTTCAGTAGCTGCACTTGTCACAGGCTGTTTTAGAACCCTGTAACTACAAAAATACAAAATCTGGGCTAAGTACCAGCGGGACCTGAGAAAAAAAATGTTCCTACGAAATATTAGAATTATCAGCTTAGCTTCCCTGACACTAACTTGTCTCAAACAAATTACAAGACAATGAATATATCTATCCATCGACCTTCTGGAGCTTTTTATACTACTAGTGTCTCTACATGAACAAATCCATCCACTGAAGTATACGCTGAAGATGTCACCTAGTAGGGTGATGAAAGCTTTGCAAATTAACCATCCAGCTCAGAGAACACAACCACATCAAATCCCTTCCCTTCTAAGCAATACCACATCCAAGCAATACTATAAAACCTTATCCTCACTAAATTGCAAACGCAACTGCATTAGAACAGGCATTTAATTTTAATCAAGTGCAGTAGAAGCTCCAACCGACAAGGGTGAAACTCACTGGAACATCCAGGGTTGATGATGTGATCGCACTCCATCGGTAGTCAGTCTTGCTTAAAATTTAACTTGGCCCTCATTCTTATTCAATATGTGATTAGGACTGAGAAGAGACGGTCTAGGTGGGTAGTCATCGGGATGATAAGTAAGGTAAGGTGCATATCCATATGGAATCTGTACATTACCCATGAAATGATACATTGGTTAGCAGCTGACTGGCACTAGCACTAGCAGTTCATGAGCCACTAGTTTGAAACTTATTCTCACCTGGATTTTCGCTTCACATTCAATCATTATCTATCACTATCACCGATGATATGCCTGATTCAAGTGAATTGGATCAGGTGGTAGACTGTAAAGAGCAGGAAGACAGGAATACGTTGAAGGAACAAGAAGACCTTGAAAGATTCGAACTTTGTGGATGATTTATGTTTAATATCACACCAAATGGAAGACTTACAGTGTAACAACAGAAGACAAGGGCCAGGCAACAGATCGTTTATTAAGGAAATCAAAGCATATTTATATATTTTCATGTACATTTTTATGGATAGTTAAGGAAACAAACGCAGTCTTCTGATTGGTTGCTTCTCACTTAAAGTTAATCTTTCATCTCTTTATGAATATATATGTATATATTAAAGCCAGGGCTATTTCTTGTATACTCATTGTTGATTGTCACATATCTGTATATAGTGTTAAGAAATACTGACAGTTTCTACATCTCAAAGTGCCATACATTTTACTAGATTGATATGAAACCAAGTTACCTGAAGGATCAAGTCTTACCTGAATGGATCTTTGGAGTTAGTGGGCCTCAGAGAACATGAATTACTGTATTATATAAAAAGTGTCACAGAAGAACACGATTTTATCTATATTTAGTTTCCTGGATCTCAAGGTTTCTTTCATTTGTGCACTCTCACACAGCGATTCTCCTAGAACTCCATTATGGATAAAATTTTATTTTGATAAATCGCACAGTATTTTTGATTGAACACTAGTCAGTAACTAGTATGATGTGTCTAGTCCTATCTTCGGTGCAGACTGAATTCTATCAGTCATGTTTGCAATGTGGCCACCATGCTAGGTGGCTCGCCATTACGGTGCACTGTAAATTGCTGGTATTAGATGGTTGGAGGCAATCGGCAGGAAGCCTTGGACCTTGGACTGCTACACTGGGTGACGCGGGTTCGAATCTCAGAAGGGACATCAGTTCCTTCAAGGTTGCAGATACGCCTTGCTGATGAGTGCCAACTAGCACGAAACCTGGGTGCAAGGCTTCCTGCCGATTGC